CGCGGGAATTTTTTGGAATGAAAGGCTCATAGATTTTGGGGTTGGGAGAAAGGGGGGAGAGGGGGTGTCTTTTTCAGAAATCTTGTTTTTCAGAACTGAGTTGAAATTTACCATGGACAGTATTTTATCGTCAAATTTACGAAGGTACTACTGTAATGTTTCGTGTAAGTACTATTTTACTCGGTGCCGCTAACCAGTTCCAACGACTACAGCACCCAAACATTGTCACCGAAGCCATCCGCGGGCTACAGCACTAAGCTTTGGGATGCTCGACCGTCCAAATACTCGCGGAACATCATCAAGAAAGTCTGCGTCTTCGTTTTCCTCCTAACGATATGCGAAGAAGTGGCCAGCTACGCTGTCAACCAATCGCTTAAAAACTTTTTCCAACGGCTCGGCTGGTCCAACAAGGGTTCCAACTCCATGAAGCTCACGTACGACTCGCTCAGCCAATTTGCGTGCATCCCTGCAGGCTACATCTCTGACGAATTCCTTGGCAAGTTCAAAACGCTCCTGGGCGCTGCATCCTCCAGTTCCGTGGGTTTTGTGCTCATCACCCTTGCAGCCTTACCGTCAATTCGCGCCACACAGTCTTTGAGTCAGACTCTATTCTGTGTTGGTCTCTTCGGTGGTGTTGCGCTCAACCAGGTGTGTCTTCGAGCGCTGACGGTCTCATTTGGCGGTGATCAATTCTCCATTAGAGCGCGCGAGTTTCTTCAGCCTCAACTTTTGGGCCTCTCGACTTGGCATTTCTTTCAGCTACGCTTGTGTTCCCTTCGCTCGCTATCCATGGCTTTGGAGCAATCCCAGCCGAATACGGTTTCATGGCAGTCTATCTGGTTGGTCTACTCATGCTGCTGACTTTCGTCGGAGTGATGCTGTCCACACGAAAGCGCTACGTAGACGTACCACCAACTAGGAGTGCTCTCGGTGCTGTGATTCGTGTCGTTGTCCGTCGCGCCAGACATAACTACCAGGCAAGGATGATTGTGTTGGGTACCATAATGTATCTCTCCGCTTTTCTGCTCAATTTCCCTGCCGCATTCTTAGGGGATCATGGGGAAGTTGGCCACAACATTTCATACGCGTGCGGTGTCTTGACAATTGCCGCTACCATCCTCTACATCTATTACGCTCGAGACCCCTCCTTCATCGATGGTGCCACCGATGCTCTCGGCGTCGAACTCGACCCTGAAACGATTCGTGGAATCAAGCAGGTCATCCGAATCCTCCCTTTCAACGCCTTTAACATGTTCTGGTGGGTCTGCCAGAACCAACGCGGCAACAATCAGACAATCATCCAGGAGACCGATGTGAGACTAGTTAGCGGACCCGGCGCCAGCCAAATTCCTGGCCCCACGGTCCAGATCTTCAATCCAGCTCCGGTTTCCTCTTCGTGCCACTGCTTGACAAGATTGTTTACCCGTCGTACGAGAAGTATTTTGGCGAACCACCCAGCAGATATGGCAAGGTTTTGGCTGGATATATTGTGGCGATCATCGCGATGCTTTGGACGGGGTTCTTTAAAATCATCCGACGAAACTCCTCTTTGTTGACGTACGATGACTCCAATGGAGAGATGCAGTACATTTTGAATGACGACGGCGGCCAGCCCATGAGCGACATTCCATGGTATGCTGCGATTCCTCAGTACTGTCTTGTGTCGTTGGCGACGGTATTCATTCAGATCTCCACGTATAACATCGGTTATACGGAGGTCCCGCTGAGCTTGTGTGGCATGTCAATCGCCTTGGGTTTCTTTATGAACTCGATGGGTAGCACACTTTTGTCCGTGTTCGTGCTGTTGTTCAGCAAGTACATACCCACTGACTTGAACGACGGTCACATGGAGTATTTATACTTTGCACTGGCGGCGGTGATGGCGATAAACACCTTCTTTTACGTGCTGGTGATGAAGGAAATGAATTTTGCGATGATTCCACCGGTCGATCGGTCGACAAAAGATCCGCTAAGACAGAGTCTGCAGGATCCAGAGTCCAAGCAAGCGTCAGTAGCGTAGGCAATAAACTTCTCGCGTCCCTTCGTAAGTCTCAATTTCTAAGAAACGGTTAGCCCTTTTAGACGAAATACGTGAGATCGAGCATTTACGAGGAACGCGCTACTTCCAGACCCATCATCCCGTCCATCGATGCTTTGGCACTGTCGTGGGCGACTTGGATGACATTATGCATGGCGCTGTCGCTGGCACCGATACCGATGCGAGAGTAAAGGAGAGGGTGTTGTAAGATGGTCCTCAGCAGAGCAAAGTATTGCGCTGGCTTGTGCGACCGGCGGAGCGTGACCCATTCCGGCAGGTGGGCAGCTCCTCAGCACACGTGACTACGTATGCTTAGAATCCACGGGCTTCGCTCGTTCCTCGACTGGCGAACGGGTGAGCTACAGTTTATCACACTCCATCTTCTTTGTTAACTACCGCACTTTGATCGTCACAGCATCGACCGAGGCAACCGCTCGGTATGCGTTTTGTACCACCAGCTGATGCCGAACACGGTGGGATGCTACGCGACCACGCGCACAGCGTGCAGAAACTGCAACAAGTCTTTTGGGTCCTAGGCAACACCAGAGCGTGCAATGTCTACCTAAACGAGATCCGCTCTCGATGCTGCGTGAAGAAGCTTGTGTGCGTCGCGAACCCCAAGACCAGGGAGCTGATAGAGACGTACAGTGGGAGGCAGACCGCAGACCGCCATGCGCGTACCATTCGAAGTCAAAGACGTAGGTACATGTACAATGAAATTAAGAGATGACCAGACTCACTTATTATGGCATAAAATTCACCACAGTGAGAGAACATGTACAACAAGTGCCACCACGTTATTCATAATATAGATGGACAGATTTCTGCAATGTTGTTCCACTCAAACGGCGACGCCACCGTCACTTTCTACATGGCCAGCTTGTGTCTCTGGAGAAAGCTCTTCCTCCACGTCACCGACGCTGTAAAGAGAGCGCTGTCGATGCCCAGCTCCTTGGCCACTTCTAACGCGTGTTCAGACAGCATCGTTCCCGTCACGGGAACGCCGAGCTTCTGCATCGAGCGAAGCCACACCAAAATGCACTTCTCAGCGTCATCACTAAGCGAAAGCCCCGCCCCTGCTTTGCGCAGGCGATGCGACTTGGCGGTGCTCACAGACTCACAGGCTTTCTCAATTTTTTCGCGGTCTTTGATCCAGGCGTAGACGACACGCTTCTTGCTGCGCTTAGCCTCTACCGACAAGGTCGGGAAGAAGCGCTCCACTGTGGACGACATATCTTTGCTCTCCTCGTAGAACTTTATCGCTGCCAGACGCGTCTCGAACGTAGTGGACGATCGCACATTCTTGCGCTCCTTGCGCCCGCCGCCTTCCTTCATCGGTAGCCTTCCCATTTTTTTCGCGTCCCCACCACTTTTTTCTGCCTTTAATAGCCTTCACAACTTTAAAATTCTCCATTGAAAAACCTATATAAGAATTTATTAAACCAAATCCGTCCCTGCGTCGGATCGGGGTACTTAGTGTGTATACGGTCCAGATGTCGCCCAGCACTAATAGGGCTGAAAGCGGCGGTACAACACCGTAGACTATTTCTTGGCTCGTATACGTACAGTTTACTCGTCCTTCATCCATGAAGATTCGATCACCATACAAACTACAGCTATCTTGATAGAAGCCTAGCAAAACACGACTTCATTTTGTGGTGATACCGGTACATTAAGTATGATATGTACAATGATGTATCAATTGGTTGTAGGAGACCAAAACTAGTTCCTCCTGCGAATGCGGAGAGGGTGTGCTTCAGTATTGAAAACGTACTTGTCAAGCGGAATGAGAGTCTCGGGTGCTTGCAGCAAGTAGTGATACTTGAGCGTCTCGGCTAAGAAGAAACTCTCCATCTTGTTCTCGGTTTGGGCAGGCAGCTGCGTCACATCCAAGATGGCAGCGTAGCCATGTTTCACCTTGGCGTGCGTCTCCAGCGCTTGGAAGATTTCCCAGCCGTATTCACGGTATTTGGGATTCTTGGTGACACGATACATATAAAAGAGACTCTCAATGGTCTCTGGTCGCAGGCGATACTTGGGGTCAATCACCTGCATCTTCGGGAAGCTCACAATGTCCGGAGACAACCCTGTTGGCTGACGGTGATAGAGCTGGTAGCAGGTCTCCATTAGTTTCTCAGCGAGCTCGAGATGTTTGGCGTTTTTGGCGTGGTCTTCTGTCTCGGACAGCGTGCCCAATGCCAGCAGCCCTGGAACAAAGCATAGAAGATGGTCCATACGTTGAACAGCCTGCACACATAGCCCAAACAAATACAATACATCAGAGGACTTGTATCTACACAACCATTGTATCAAAGCTACGCACCGAGAAAGAAGGGACTTTCATCTCCTGTAAGAAGTAGAGATCGTCGGGGATTGAGAAGTACAGTAAGTGTTCCTCCATGCCCCTCACGGCGTCATCGTAGAGCTCTCGAAGATACTCGTCCTCTTCGCGTTTACCGCTATAGATGTACACTTTCAACAAATACTCATAGAACGAGTCACCAAGCGCACCAAGAGTGATAACACTTCTTTGGACGTCGAATGTCCCGAAACGTGGGTCATAATGCACTGGGAACAAGCCTGTTTTCTTGTAGGATCCTTCGCGTTTCAGGATCTGGTAAAACGCGTCACCCTGGGTAGCAAGAAGTAAATAGTTAGCCCCCAACACAAAAGAGACCATTGCGGGCCTTAGACTACCATCTCGGCGTATTTAGGGTCTCCAGTAATGTCCGAAAGATAGCGCGTCTCGAGCTGCAGTGTACCGATATCAGCGATATGGGCTCTGAAGCATCAAATAAGCATTATCCAAGGTGATAAAAGAGATTGTGAATTGACAACAGAAGGCCGCACTTACCGAAAGCCAGCCCACCCAGCAAAGCTCTTCTCCTTCGTGTACGGATTAAAAAGCGTGTAGAACACGCCTTCCTCCTTGTCGAAAGCCGGCGTGAGAATGTCCATAAGCTCCCTGGCTTTCTCTTTGAAAATGGTATCGCCAGAGAGGTCAAATGCGCTTAAGAGACCGCCAACTTCGCGGATGATAGTTTCAAACACCGAAAGTTTGTTGCCATCGCGGCCTAAGTGGGAGAAATCGAGCTGGTTCGCCACATAGTCTCTAGCGCGTTGGAATTCGTCCTTCAAGTCCATGATCCAGAGCGTGTCAATGCCGTCCACCATGGAGCACGCGATGTCACCCCACACGTTGCTACGTTTCCAGCCGTTCTTCGGGTCCACTTCATCCCCCCCAAACGCGTGTTCCTCGTAGTTTCCCCACGCAAACTTCATAGCCTTACGCACAGCCAGACGACGAGATTCTTGCTGTTCCGAGGGCACCGCAGTCACCGTCTTATCGGGGTCTTCCACGTCTGCAACAACCTCATCCGCCAGCATCTCATCGACTACGTCGTGGCCTGCACCTGCCCCACCACCTCCTGTCGCGTGATTCACAGCGTTTATTTCAGACGGCTGCTGCTGATGTTCGTCGCCTCTGAGATGCGCCTGCTCATTGTGGTTGTCCTCCGGGCGTTGAGCCACCTGATTCGTGGCGCCCTGCAGTTCGCCCACGTGCGCCGGGACGCCACCCAAGTTCGTAGTCAGGATGGTATACTGTACCCAGAGGAACAGCAATAGGATGCAAATTAGACCGATGAGTGCCACACGCTTCCAGAGCGGCAGTTGCTGCGAGCGCTTGCGTCCCTTGGGGGAATACGATGGCAGCATCTCGACGGG